GGGGCGCAGCGTGAACAGCCAGAGCTAGCGGAGCCCCGCGGTCGAGCGGCGCGCGAGGGGCGCCCGGGGCCTGTGCAGCCGCGGCCGGCTCAGAAGAGGCACGGAGTCGGGCGCTGGGCAATTACATCCACCCCCATCTTCCAGGCCGGGAACCGGAGGACCCGGCGCTGCTGGTGAGCCCCGGGCCCGGAAGGTGGCGGCGACCAGGCCCTGCGGGGCAATGGTGGGCCGAGGCGAGCCTCCCGTGACCGCGGTGCCCGCCTTGCTAGCGCCTCCTCTTCTTGGCCCCTCTCCTCTGTGGGCATTGCGCGTGTGGGGCTCGGGAGACCCTGGCTTGTGGGGATGGGGAAGTGAAGGGCCCGGAGGCTCCACGGTCCTTGGGCAGCGAGGCCTGGGGGTCCAGAGGGGGTTAGGAGGCTGGCTGGTGGGCCCAGGGACAAATGGTGAGGGAGAGATTCCGGTGGGCGCAGAGGAGGTGTGGCTGGCTTCCTGGGGCGAGGGGCTCCCTCTGTGAGCTGGCGGTGGGGATGGTGCCTGCAGAGTCCCTAGCACAGAGCGCTCTGCTCCCTCTTTAAGATCGTTGGAGTGAGAACATGGTGACTGGCCGAGTGGACCACAGAAGGGTGGATGTGGAGGAAAGGGTTACTGGAGTGTCAGGGCTGCTGGGCCTGAAGAGCTGGAGAAGGAAATTTCCCAGCTGCACCTGCAGCCCTAGGAGGGCTAAGTTAAACCTGAGGCGGGCTTGGTGGGTTGAGTGGTCCTCTCCTCGCATGAAAACAAGTGATGGCAGGTGAGGATGGGGAGCAAATAGAGATATGAGGCAGGGGCATGTTGGGGGGTAGGGGGTGGCTGTTGTGTGTGTCACTGTGTAGCTAGGTGGTTCTGGGGACAGGGTCTGGGCCTGATGGGTGTCTGGCTTGTAATTTCTGGGATCAAAGGAGCTGTGCTGTCCCCAAGGCGGCCCGAGCACTGGACAGTCACGAGTGACATTACATTTTATGTCTTTGTCTAGATAGGGCAGCAGAAGTAGATAGAAAGTAGCCCTGAGCCAGGGACATTGGAGAGGAGGTCAGAGCGAGGAACTGAGGCCTGACTGGTATAAGCTAGGCCTGTGGGTGGATGAGGCCTTCTAGGATGGGTCAGGCGTATGGACTCGAACCCTGATTATGAGAGGGTTGCTGTTGCACCGTGACAACTAGTGTTGGAGTGAGAGAGGGGATGTGGAGACGTGGAGGGGGCTCAGTGGGCACTAGGGAGTATTGGCTCTGAAGAGGGTGTGGGCATAGACAGAAGACCATCCATGCAAGGAGAGCAGGCATGTGGGTGTCTCAGTGCAAGGTGTGGGTAGTCCAGGGCAGGAGATGAAGCCAGACAAGGCAAGCAAGGCCATGGAGAACCATTTTGGGCACAGGGCAGCTGATGGTCTCACACCTGCCTGAACAAGAGTTGGCCAGAAAGTGGGCCAGAGCAGGAGAGAGAACGGGGGCTCCAGTGCAGGGGTAGGGGAGTATGGAGGATCAAGCAGGTCACCAGGACTTGAGTGGCCCTCAGTCCAGCGCAGAAAGCCAGTTCACAATCCAGTCTTGCAGGATGGGGTTCCCCAGCCTTCAGCACTTTACCACTCCACCTGGACGGTGAGGCATGGGCTGGGAGAGAAGACTCCTGGAACCCAGACTGATAACAGCCACCGACAGGCGTCTATCAGAGCCTGGGGCCCGGCGGTGTGGGTCCACCAGCCACAAACCGGCTTCAGGGATGCGCGCAGCATGAGAAGCAACTTCCTCTGATTCCCCAGCGATGGCGGGAATGAGGTCTCAGCGCTCCTCAGGTGGGGCTGGCGCGCCCTCTGGAGGCTCCACTGCTCAGTCCCCGGGCACCGCGCGCCCAATCCGCCCAGCTCCGCGGCTGCCCCCTGACCCTGACTCCTCTTGTCTCCAGGTGCTGAATTTGCGGGATAGGAGCGGTGGCGTCCTCTGGGCAGCCGGATAGGCCCTGCTCCTGGCCATGCCCGCTGGCTGAGCGCCTCCGAGCACTAGAGCTGCGCTCCAGGATCGTCGCTGGAACTCGCTTCGATTTGCGTGGGGGTCGCGCGCGCCCAGGCCGGGGTCTGGGCGGCCGACCATGGTGCTGCCGCCCCCGGACCGGCGCCACGTGTGCCTGACCACGTTGGTGATCATGGGCAGTATGGCTGTCATGGACGCATACCTGGTGGAGCAGAACCAGGGCCCGCGCAAGATCGGCGTGTGCATCATTGTGCTGGTGGGCGATGTGTGCTTCCTGCTAGTGCTGCGCTACGTGGCCGTGTGGGTGGGCGCCGAGGTGCGCACTGCCAAGCGCGGCTACGCCATGATCCTGTGGTTCCTTTACATCTTCGTGCTGGAGATCAAACTCTACTTCATCTTCCAGAACTACAAGGCGGCGCGGCGTGGCGCGGCGGACCCAGTGGCGCGCAAAGCTCTGACGCTGCTGCTATCGGTGTGCGTGCCAGGCCTCTTCCTGCTGCTCGTGGCGCTCGACCGCATGGAGTATGTGCGCACCTTCCGCAAGCGCGAGGACCTGCGTGGCCGCCTCTTCTGGGTAGCGCTCGACCTGCTGGACCTGCTGGACATGCAGGCCAACCTGTGGGAGCCGCCGCGCACCGGGCTGCCGCTGTGGGCTGAGGGCCTGACCTTCTTCTACTGCTACATGCTGCTGCTGGTGTTGCCGTGCGTGGCACTCAGCGAGGTCAGCATGCAGGGCGAACACATCGCGCCGCAGAAAATGATGCTCTACCCTGTGCTCAGCCTCGCCACCGTCAACGTGGTGGCTGTGCTGGCTCGCGCTGCCAACATGGCTCTCTTCCGTGACAGCCGCGTCTCGGCCATCTTCGTCGGCAAGAACGTGGTGGCACTGGCCACCAAGGCTTGCACCTTCCTTGAGTACCGGCGTCAAGTACGCGACTTCCCGCCGCCAGCGCTAGCCTTGGAGCTGCAGCCACCAGCGGCACAACGAAACTCCGTGCCACCGCCCCCGTCGCTGCACGGTCCACCTGGGCGCCCCCATGGGCCCTCACCCACGCGGGATACCCTGGACACGTGACGACGCCTGGGGGGGGGCCCAGGGACATCCCTGAAGTGGAGAGACACGGACCAGGCGAGGATTTGCATGGGATGGGGTGAGGCGAGCTCCCGCAGGTCAGGCGCAGAGCCCACACTGGGGGCCAGAGCCCACACTGGGGGCTGAGGCTGCTTCTTCATCTCAGGAATCCCTCCTACCGCGGCCCCCATAGGTCTCGCTTGCTCACTCCCCAGGGTATGGGGCAGATTTGTGTTCCTGGAGTGGAGCTGAGGTGGCCTGCCTCCCTGCTGGGTGGTGGGGTAGGGAGGGGTGGGCAGTGCAGGGAGGGCCCTGGCCGGTGGTTTGGACCTCCAAGGAGGCCTCTGTCATTTTAAAGACTCTGTTTACAGTTTTGTATTCAAAGAGGCACTTCTCAGCCTGTTTCTTGTGTCCGTGTTGTGTCACTAACAGGGGTGGCAGCTGGCACTGTGTGAAGTGGTGGGGTGAGTGGGTCCACTTCCTCTCCTTGGTGCCTGTGCTGGGAAGCTTCTGCCTTGGCCACTGCTCCCCCTGTCCCTTCTCACTGCTCCTTCCCACCTGAGATGTGGCATGTCCCTGGGAGCCCTTGACCCATCTCTTATGTCTGTCCTCCATATTCCTAGTGCTCCTCAGTAGGGACACCTACAGTTAGGACACCCCCACTGAGCACACCCTACGGAAAACACCCCCTCTAGGGACACTCCATGGAGCAAACACTGCAGAGGACACTCCCACTGGGGACACCCCCATGCAGCAAGCCTCTGTGAAGACACCCTCACTGGATACACCCCCACATGGCTTGTGTACCACTGGAGCAGCCCAGAACAGCTCAAAGCCAGGTGAGCATGCACCTCACCTTGGGAACTGGAGGGTCCTTCCCTCAACCCTGTGGCACTGGCCCTGTCCAGCCAGTGTGGGACTCTGTGGGGACAGAGAGGACTCTTTAGGTTGCTGGTCTGTGTCCACAACTGGGGTAACATTCCAGGCCTGGTCATGGGCACTAGGTCCTTTAAGTGGCCCATGGCTCACCTCTCCAGCAGAGTCTGTGTCTGTCCTCCTTCACCTTAGGTCTCCTGAGGGTATGTTGTTGTTGTTATGTGCAGTCGAGTCGTTTCCGACTCATAGCGACCCTATGCACAACAGCCCTAAACCCTGCTCTATCCTGCGCCAACCGCACCGCCTCTGACACACCCATCCCGATTACCCCAGTCACTGAATCAATCCATCTCATAGAGGGTCTTCCCCTCCTGCGCTGTCCCTCCACCCTCCCAAGCATGATGTCCCTCTCCAAGGACCCGTCCCTCCTGGCAACATGTCCAAAGTATGTCAGACGAAGTCCCAGAATCCTTGCCTCCAAGGAGTAGCTTGGTTTAATCCTCTCCAAGATGAATCTGTTTGTTTTCCTGGCAGTCCATGGTACATTCAGTACCCTTCTCCAGCACCACAGCTCAAAAGCATCCACTCTCCTTCTGTCCTCCCTAGTCATTGTCCAACTCTCTGATGCATAACAAGCGATTGCAAAGACCATGGCCTGTATCAGGCGCACCTTAGTCTCCAGAGAGACACTGTTGCTCCTGAGTACCTTTGAGAGGTCCCTAACAGCAGACTTTCCAATCGTGATACGCTTTTTGATTTCCTGACTGCTGGTACCAAGAGTGTTGACTGTGGAGCCGAGCATACTGAAGCTGTGAACACTCTCAATCTCTTCGTCATCCATCCTGACGCTGCCAGTTGGTCCAGTGGCGAGAATCTTTGTCTTCTTGACATTGAGCCTTAGTCCATACTGAAGGCTGCAGTCCTTGACCCTTCGCAGCAAGTGCATGAGGTCCTCCTCAGTTTCAGCAAGCAGGGTTGTGTCATCTGCATAACTCAGATTGTTAATAGATCTTCCACCAATTCTGATGCCACAATTCTCCTCATAGAGCCCAGCTTCTCGGATAATCTGCTCTGCATACATGTTGAAAAGGTATGGAGACAGGATGCATCCCTGGCGTACACCCTTCCCAATTTTGAACCATGCAGTGTTACCCTGCTCTGTTCTGACTACTGCCTCTTGATCCAAGTACAGGTTTTGCATTAGCACAATTAAATGTTCTGGGATTCCCATTCTTCTCAGAGTCAGCCACAGTTTGTTATGATCCACACAATCAAATGCCTTTGCATAATCAATGAAACACAGATAGACATTCTTCTGGTATTCTCTGCTTTCAGCCAAGATCCATCTAACATCAGCAACGATATCCCTAGTACCACGACCCCTTCTAAACCCAGCCTGGACTTCCGGCAGTTCTCTGCTGATGGGCGTCGCAAGATAAGTAGCTGTGTCTTCTCACAGAGTGTGGAGCCTCTGCTCACAAACGTGGTGCCCACATGGTTCCTGGTGTGCCAGGCATGGTTCACTGTGTTTATCTTCCCTTGCTATATGAGAAAGACAGTATCCATTTTCAAAAAGGAACTCAAGTCGACCCTTGGAATGCAACCAGAGTCGGTAACTGGTCCCAGGCAGTACTCTGGGCTGGATGCCTTCCCAGTAAGAGCAGTAGCTTAGGGTGTGGGCTCCAGCAGCACCAACCACCTCTAGTGGGAGACTTCTATCATCCAAGCCAGGTTAGAGCACTCTGGCGATGTAGTGGGTAAGAAGTTGCACTGCCAAACCAGTTTGAATCCATTAGCTGCTCCATGGCAGAAAGATGGACAGTCTCCTGCAGTGTGATTTATGTCCTCTAAAACCCCACTGTTGTTAGGTGTCATTGAGTTGAGTACAACTCATAGGAACACAATAAACAGCAGATCTGAACCCTTTCCTATGCTGTGCCAGCCTCACAGTCTCTGACACAGGCCCATTGCTGCAGTCACTGTGTCTGTTCACCTTGTTGAGGGTTTTTCTCTCCTTTGTTGTCCCTACACTTTTCCGAGCATGATGTTTTTCTCCAAGGAATAACCTCTACTAGCAACATGCCCAAAGGATGTGAAATGAAGCTTTGCCTTCCTTTTCTCCAAGGAGCACTCCGACTTCACCTTCTCCAAGACATGTCTGTTTGTTCTCTTGGCCGTCCAAAAACTATTCAGTACTCCATAGTGAACCAACACAACTCAAAGTCATCAATTTTTCTTCTGTCAATGTTAATCATTGTTCAGCTCTCAGATGCCTATCAAGTGATAGAAAACCTGCTGAGAGGTCAGCTGAGTCAGTTCTTACTCAATAGCACATAACAACAACATATTCCAAGCAGGAGATCTCAGGACCACTTTCCTCAGGTGCCCGGTGCCTGCCACTGTGGCTAGAAATCTGTCCTACTGTCCTGTTGTCCAAATCTGCCCCTCTCCTCTCTTTCCTAGCCCTCACAGTCCCTGCCATTTCCTAGTGTGGCCTCAAAAGTGGACGACACAAGGGTCCAGATGGCTCAGGTGTCAGACATCCCTGATGTTGAGAGTAAGGGAGCTGCCCGAGCCACGGAGAGGTACAACCAGAGGGCATTCAGTTGGGAATGTGGTGAGAATAGGGGCTGCAGTGAGGGGCAGGATGTGGTTTGGGGGCCCTTGAGAGACAGGGCTGGAATAGCTAGTTGAGGTCTGAGTGGGACAGGGCCTGATACTGTGTCTTCCCACAGGAGTCCCTGGTCCATCCTCTCCTCCTTGAGCTTCCTACCCCAACTTTGCCTGTCTTCTGCTTCTGACAAAGATGAACACAGGACACTTCAGCTCTGGTAACTGGGAACAGGATGACATCAGTCTTGATGCCCTGTTCCTTAGGTTCCTACCTATCCTGTCTCACTGTCACTGAAGGGGAGCAAAGGCTGTGCTGTCACATGTCCCTCATGCCTAGCATCACAGAGTGGAAAGTTCAGCCAGATAGTTTGAATCATCCCCATTGTCCTTTACAGGCCATCTAGTGTTGTCCATGACCCTCCTAACCTGCCTCCTTCCTCCTGGTTCTTCTCATCTCATGCACCTCCCTCTATGATCTTTCTGAGCCTGAATGTGAAGGAGGTGATGTCATTGGGTCCTATGTCTCAGTTCTGTAAAACGTCGAAAGCAAAACTTACATTAACAGTAAAAAACCCCACCAAAACCCAGTAAAGGTAAATATAACAAGTCACTCCAATATTATATATGACACAAATCTGCATTACTTCATGTCGACTCTGGTCAGTGCACCTGAGTGTCTGAGTGCTAGGTGACAGATCCTTGTCTTGAGGTCAGGGCCACACTTCTGCCCAGCTGTTGCGTAAGGTCTGGAATCCCCTAGTCTGCAGCAAAGGAGGTCTAGGCCTTGTAGGCCTCATCACTCAGCAAGTCTAGGCCCAGAGTTTGTCTGCTGCGGAGCCATGGTGTGCCAGCGGAAAGGATGGCTCTTAGGCACCCTGCTCCTGGCTCGGGTGACCTCGTCCCCTTGACTTCACTGTCCCTTCCTCAAGCAGGTTCTCACGGGAAATCTAGCAGAGAAGGTAGCAACAGCTGAATGGGCTCTGTCTGGGCAAGTGCTCCAGGGGCTGTTGGCTGGACACACAGCTGTCCCCTCCCAGTGTCCTAAGGACACATAGGGCCCTTAGGGCCCAGGGATTTAAGCAATGTCAAATCACTTAAAGTTTTCTTTCACGGAACACATAGTAGACATTGATTGATACACAACTATAATCTAAAAAAGGAAGTTTTTTTTACCCTTCAGGTTCCTGTCAAAAGAACCACCCTTGGCCTCAGTCTACTAGATATCACTATCCAGGTATTCAATTCTATTTCCATTTGTTTACAAATGTACAAGGAGGTGATTTACTAGTGCTTCATCATCAGAAATACCTACACAACATCTGCTTTCATGTTCAGCACCACTCACCTCCAACTGCAGTCCCTTCAAGGCAGAAGAATATGCTCAGTGTCCTTCAAGGCTGAAGAGACAGATTTCCTGAAATCCGACCTTAGCACTAATGTTGTTGTTGTTGTTATATGCCATCGAGTCACCTGCAACTCATAGCGACCCTGTGTACAACAGCCCTCAACCTTGC